ATCAAATTCGCGGGTGAAGACTAAATTTGCAAAGTTTGTTCAAACATGTAGGAGTCGCACCCAATTTCAGCGTAATTGACGCAATAGTTGTGAGTTAATGGTAAAGGCTTACTCCACCCTGTAACTAGTTGTGGGTTCCAACTTAATCATCTTCTTCCCTTTTCTGCACCACTCAAAAAAGGGTATTGGACAAAAATAAAGGAAAATGAAAAAGCATATAAATATTTATTTACTCTTATATCCTCCCATTAATACACTGATATTTGTATAGGGAAATTTATTTTTTTATTTTTTACTACAAAGTGTCTAAGTTTATGTCGATTATTTTCTTAAATTTAACAGCTAGTCACCGTAAAACGGGTATAAGATGGCTAACCCTTAGGGTATCACTCTCGAGAATTTACAATTAAAATTCATTTTTCAGTAGGGGTGCAACTTTGGGAGTTTAGTGGTCAACCAATCCTAACTCGACCTTAATCTGAGGTACTCAACCTGAGTATTGTCCAAGTTGAATTCAGGCAGGCTCGAGTTAAATTCGAGTTGGGTTTGTTCAAACCTAAAATCAACCTATTGTCCTAAATTTGGTACATACTATATAGTATTTACCTGAAATAATAACCAACAACTTCAATCAAATGTTTAACATAAAAACCATAGTATTCAAAGCATAAAAAAGAATACTGAACAAAAACTAAATTAAATTTTTCTTAACATAAAGATATAATAGCCAAATTAACATAATAGTCATTTTAACATAAAAAAAACATACTGGACTTAATATTTAACCATAATATTTGTGTTAAGCCCGATTTATATATTTAGTGTTAATCCAGTAACCTGAGGTCTCAACCGGGGTATTGCCCAAATTCAATTCGAATTGATGTTTTTCAATTCAAGTTCAACCTAAGTATTAAAAACTTTAACACAAACCCTGTTTTTTCGAGTTAGATCGAATTAAATTTGGTTGGCCCGCTCAAGTTGCACCCTTATTTTCAGTAGGATGGGTCCATTTCCGTCCCTTAAATCTCCCTTCTCACCCCCATTTAATCATTTTACTTCAAACTATTAAGTTCATCTCATCTGTATCCACCTCATTAATTATTAAGTTCACCTCATTTATACTCATTTTATTAAACTATTAAATATATGTCAAAGAAACCGAAACAAAAATAGTAATTGAACCCAAATTTTAATATTTCGAGGTGATCTATATTATTTTGAGGTGTTTTGATATATTTTCACCAATGTTTTTGAAATATTTTGAATTATTTTAATATATTTTGACTAATATTTTAAAATTAATTATTAATTTTTATTCTTCTTTTGAAATTTTGTTTTTTGAAATAATAATACATCGAAACAAAATTTTGATCATTGACTATATAGTATGTTGAAATAAAATTGAATGAATTTAATTTTTAATTACTAAAAATAGACGAAGTGGGTTCAATAATTAATGATACAAATAGATATAAATGAGATGAACGTAATAGTTTGAAATAAGATGTTAATGAGTCTTTGGTCTAATGATACTCTTTATTTTATGAAGGTTTTGCCTTCTTTGAGGTCAAATGTTCAAGTTCTTCTCCCCTCCCAAAAAAAAAAATTTAAAATAAGATAATTAAATGGACTAAAAAAAAGGGTTGTAACACCATGGTCTTCTATGACTCTCTCTGATGTATCACTCTCGTCTCTTATCATTTGAAAAGGCTGCTCCTCTCATCCTCTCTTTCTCTTTCACACACACCCCCCCTCCCCCCCATACTCTTGCCTTTTGTCTCTAAGATCTGCTCGAGTTGGATTGGGTGTAGCACAACAATGGCGTCGTCTGCAATTGTTGGATTCAAAGGACTCAAACCATCAATTGAAGCTGTGAGACTTCCCACGAGCTCTCATGAAACCAATAGGATTGCGGCATTTTTTTTTTAGTAAGCTTTTTTTTCCTCATTTTCTCTCAATGCTTTCTTCTTTAAAATGTCATTTCTTCTTGTGCGGTTTTGATTGATTTGGGTTGTGCTTTATGTGTTTTGGGTACATACACATGCATGTTAATATAAATTCTACACGGGAGAATTTTTGCAATAAGTTGATAAAATGATCCGCATTGGTGATATTTTAAATAATCCTGCAAACGATTGGCAAATTTAGGAAAAGGGCTAGGTAAACACTGAACTTATTCCCTCTAAAACTTAAATCAGTCGGCGTATAAGTGTGTAGAGTATATTCAATGCAAAGTGATTTTAGCTTATCATTTTTATGTTTTTGTTTTGTTTTATTTATACCTATGATTGTTGTGATGTCTGTCACTTCTTAGTTATTAATGTCTTGACGCATTCACCTAATTTAATGAATCCCTATGTCACACCTCATTAATGCAAAATGACTTGATGTTAGAGTCTAGAATGTCCCTTGACTTCTGGATAACCAGTTATTCGGAGTTCAAGAATAATTCATTTACTACTCGAGATACATTATGATCCTTGGGTCTGAGAGGTCCTAATTGCCTAGACCGCGACAATGTCCTTTCAGATTATTTGAAAAAAATGTTTAATTTGTCAAGATAAAAATCTGTATTTGATTAGGCCTACCATAATTTCATATTCACAATATCAAGCATCTCTTTCTCAATTTTTGGGAAAACTGTTCATATGATTTTAACAATGTTGGTTACTGAGTTTTTCTTAGTTTTTTTATTTATCAAAATATTCAATTAAAATGAAAACTTGATAAGTCTTAAGTGTCAGTATTCTCTCTAGAGGATGAGCCTAAAAGTTTCACTTACTAATCGAGTCAAGCCTGAACAAAAATACAAACTTCATAGTCCAAGTTGAGCCAAATTATGTGCGCGACATATCTAAGATTAGCCGAGGTTGAGAATATCAAAACTTGATTGACCCGATTTGATTAACATTCCTTAGGAAAATCAAGTTAAATACCTATAAGACTTGCGAAATGACTCAGGGCTGATGGGTTGGCCTAAGATTCTAATGTTTACCTGGCCATGGTTTGGGCTGACACCTCACATGGAAGCCCCTATGCGTTATTTGTGGCCCACCTAGGAGATTGTCCTTCTCACTTGTCAAAATTCAAAATATTTAGATGTATTAATTTAATTTATTTATATTAAAATAATATTCCCGATTTTTGCCCGTCTAAAAATACTTTAGGACTAGTTTTCTCAATGTTGGGCCCCAATTTCTTTTCCCATTAACATTAATTTTTAGTTTTATGGAGTTGAGCAAGATTTTAAGTTGGAAAAATAACCTGTAACTTTTAATTTGTATAACAAAACAATCAACGATTTCTATCAAATGTTTAATAGGATAATTAAGTACTATCTTTGACATTGGTTCTAAATTAATTTAAACCTCTATCAATCATATCCTCATTTCATTTTACCCTTTGTTATTCAGATGTCAGTTACATTTTTTGTTTATAATTTCTTAATCAACTTAATTGTTTAAAAAATTGAAAAAACAAATAAAATAGCTACCAATAGATGTATATGAGTATATATGATATTTAGCAAATTATGTAAATGAACCTTTTTTTTACATAAACTTATATAACATTTTTTTATTTTCTAGTAATCAATCATATTTTTGTTAGCATCATATTATTGATATATAAACTAAAATTTCAGGAATTTGTATGAGTATCTAACATACTTTTTCGAACACCGTATGTTATTAGTGATTTATGTGGGAATGGTATTTTTTTGTAATTAAAAGCTAATGAGTAAAAGATGAATGATATAAAGTTAGGATTGAAATTATGTTGAATAATAAGAGAAAAATTGATATTCTCAATATTTTTTGCAACAAAAACTAAGACCTTTTTTGATATTATGTTAAAAGAGTAAGATTTAGTTGTCCCGAGAGATATTTGATAAGAATCCATTGTTTGTTGTCAGAACTTGACAGTGACGTTGAATTATTCTGGACATACCACACAAAATAAATAAATAATTAATAAATAACAGATATTCAGTACAAGTAACATATATAGCTTATTGTACTAGCCTAATAGCAAAAGAAATTTATTGTGGTCATTAAATGTATATTAAAACAAGTAAACAACTCTCCACAACCAATCGTGAAAGTATTTGACAAAACTTAAGAATATATGTGTTCCGAAGTACCTACAAACACATGAAATAATACAACACATTAAAATAATAAAGCAAGCATGTTCACATGTAGGATCTTGCCCTCTTCCAACCCTAATGAGCAATAGCTACAAACCGAAACAAACAAGTTGAAACAAAATAGTGTCCACATGCTTATCGTCATACCATGTGTCCAGAGGCAGTATCTAGGATACAACTCAATAATTGAAGACTCTTTCACAGATTCACGGCCAAACATACTTTTCGCCATTTTTGATTTACTAGTCTGAGTTGCTCCTGAATCATACTCCCGAAGCTGTGGCATTTCTGGATCAATGCTACTGTGCCTATAAAATGCAGGCTCTGAGGGTACTAGGAGAGTAATAGAGAAGCAATTTTATATACATTTTGTTTATTATTAACTCAAGCTACTTTGATATATATGTCAGAAAACCAGTTTTTTTTTTTTAATTACAAAAAACACTCCATTTAAATTAAACAGAATTGTAGCTAAATCTTCCCTGATGGACACACAAGATTGTTAGAAAACCCAAATGTATCTTAGGCAAAGCTTATTCAAATTTGGATTTAATGTTCGATCTAGTACTTTCTCGTATTAAAACCAAAAATTTGATAAAGAGGGAAAAAAAAAAAAAAAACTCTGAAGCAACATTACATGAATGAGAAGCCCTTTTCTTCTAAAACCCACTAACATAACAATAAGTGCATTAAAAATAGAATTGAAATACAAAAGCATCAACTTAAAACCTAGATCAGCGGGTGGGCTAATAGCTACCGCTCCATTGTTGAACCTTAAACCCCCGGAAGAGAGATTTTTTTTTTTTAAACAAAAAAAGCAGCATAAACTTGCTAAATCAGCCATGTAAATCATTCAGAGAAACCCATGACCATGACCGTGACCATAGCCATGGTTGTATCCATGGGACATCATGGAAGGGATAGACCCTGTTGCCCTAGCATCAAATGGGCCACCTCCAGTACCACCACCACTGAACCCTACTGCCGGCCGAGCATTAAATGGAGGAGCACCACCACCACTGGACCCCGGCGCAGCCGCATTAAATGGAGCACCAAGGCCGAATCCGGTGGCACTACCACCTCTTCCAAAAGAACTGGTGGCTGTGAGAAATGGCGATGGAATCGATGACTCGACCATTACCTGTTGTGCTTGGTTGTTGAAATTCTCTCTGAGGTCCTCCATGGCTGCTTTCAGAATTTCCAACTGTTGCAAATTGAGCTCATCAATGGGAGCTTCCCACCACCTCTGGTTCCGACCAGCCCTCCTTATTTGATCGAGCATTTCACCGCGCTTTCTCTCACCTTCCAACTGGCTTTCCACGTGGGTGAGCTGCATATTGAGTTCATGGACTTTAGCATTCCGGTGAGCCTCAATGTACAGCTCCGCCCCACTGCCACCATTTGGCTGTGGAGGATTCCGGCTGAGAAACCTGTCAACGACCGACTCGACACAAGGGTGGCCAAAAGAGAACACCTTTTTGCCCGGAGAGAAGACAATAATGGCTACTTCAGCACCACAAAGAGTGCAAAGCTCACTAGCCTTCTTGAACAGGCCGGACCTTCGTTTCGAAAAGGTTACTTGCAGGTTACTCTCATTCTGCATTTTCACCATGTTCACCTTTTGGCGACCCTTACTCGTTCTTGCCATGGCTAAATCTAAAGCCCTAAAGACACACCAAACAATAAGATGATACAGAAACTAAAAATGGTGATTTCTCCTGAAAAGAAAGAGGTATTTATACAAGTTCTTCCATCACCTTTTGAGGCTGAATTCCCTATTATGTCCCTTGTTATCGTTGGATAGTAATAAATGTACACATTGTAGATTTTGTATTAATAATGACTTATCGACAAAGCAAGATAACTATGATTATTTTCGAATTCATTAAGCTACTTATTTTAGAGAGGGGGTAGAATCTTTAAACCTTTCTTACATGGTCTGAAAATGTTTGAATACGTTAGGACTATGGTTGGACTTGTTTGAATTCCATGGGGTCCGCTTCATGCTTATCTGTAAATTAATGTCCTAGACATAAATTCAGAATACCATGGGAGATAGGCTTTGCTTATGATGCTAATTTATCTTTTATATTTCTAATAATTGGTTTATTTAATGGTTAATTTACTGTGGCGGAAAGATCTCTACAATATCAAATCTCTTTGTACCGTATTGTAAAATTAGGAAAAAGTTACAAGTGAATGAAGTCAATGTTACAATTTAATCAAATCCGAATATTTTGACTCAAACCGGAAAAACTTGAATCAAGCCTAAGAAGTTAGGATTTTGCCTTTTTGTTTTCGACTCGGTCTTAACTCAAATTTGGTGGATTATAACTTGGTATGTTTGAAGCATAACTTGATCTGATTGAGTCAAACTTTGATATAACTTGGAAAGTTTGTACTATTTTCACTGGACAGTAATGGAGTCAATGGTATTTATCGTTTCTGTCAAGTCTAAAAATTCTCAATTGATTAGTCTTAAGAGAAAATTCCTTTAATTAATGTTTTTGGTGCGAACAACAAAACCACTAGGACCTTAATATGTACTTGTTATTCTAGAGGTGACCAATGGGCCCAACGTGGAACCGGTATGAAGTTAGAAAATTTGGTTTAATCTCGCGGGTCAAATAGGTCGACCAGTTAAATTCGTAAATATTGAAATTAAACATAACATGAATTTGGTTAAATATATATTGCATACGACATAAATCTAAAATAACATGAAATTGGTTTTATACTATTATAAATAAATCGAGAAATTTTAGGACTGCACAATCTCACCGTAATAAAGACAACTATGATAATTTTTGGATTCATTAAGCTACTTATTTTAGAGAGGGTAGTATCTTTAAACCTTTCTTACTTGGACCGAAAATGATTGAATACGTTAAGACTATGGTTGGACTCGTTTGAATTCCATGGGGTCTACTTCATACTTATCTGTAAATTAACGTCCTAGACATAAATTCAGAATATCATGGGAGATAAGCTTTGCTTATGATGATAATTTATGCTTTTTATTTCTAATAATTGGTTTATTTAATGGTCTATAATTTACTATTGCGGAAAGATCTACAATATCAACTCGACATAGTAAAATTAGAGACAAGTTAAGAGTGGTAATTATCATTTCTGTCAAGACTAGAAATTCTCAATTGAACAATCTTAAAAGAAAATTCCCTCAATTAATGTTCTAGCGCGAATAACCAACCACCCAGACGTTAATCTAGTTATTCAAGACGTGACGAGTGGGCTCAACATGAAATCGGTACAAAGTTAGCAAGTTTGGTTTAGCCTTAAGTGTCAAATAGGTCGATCAATCACATCCTTCAAATAAATAAAGTGACACAAACTGGACTAAACATGACATAAATTTGGTAAAATACGTATTGTATATGACCTAGGCCTGAAATGAAATAAAATTGATTTTATATTATTATAAATAGGTCGAGAAATTTTAAGAGGCACGATCAGTTAACAATCTCACCATATTTAAGATAACTATAATAATTTTTGTATTCATTAAGCTACTTATTGTAGACAGGGTAGAATCCTTAACCCTTTCTTACACGGATTGAAAATGTTTGAATACGTTAGGACTACGATTGGACTCGTTTGAATTCCATGGGATCTACTTCATGTTTATCTGTAAATTAATGTGCTAGACATAAATTCTGAATACCATGGGAGACATGCTTTGCTTATGATGCTAATTTATCTTTTTTATTTCTAGTAATTGGTTTATTTAATGATTTGTAATTTACTGTTGCGGAAAGATCTACAATATCAATTCTGATCCTTGGTATGGTACTGTAAAATTAGAGACAAGCTACGAGTGAATGAAGTTAAGGTTACGATTTAATCTAATCTAAATATTTTAACTCAAACTGAAAAAAGTTTAAATCAAGCCCAAGAAGTTGGGACTCACTTTTTTGTTTTTCGAATCAGTCTTAACTCAATCTTGGTGGGTTGAAACTCGGCAAGTTTGAGGCATAACTTGATCTAATTAAGTCAAACTTTGGTATAACTTGGAAAGTCACTACTATTTTTAATGGACAGTAATGGAGTTAGTGGTAATTATCGTTTCTGTCAAGTCTGGTAATTCTCAATTGATCAATCTTGAAAGAAAATTCCCTCAATTAATATTTTGGGGCAAAAAAAAACCACCAGGATCTTTTTCTAGTATTTGTTATTCTAGACGTGACCAGTGGGCTCAACATGAAATAGGTGCGAAGTTCACAAGTTCAGCTTAGCCTCACAAGTCAAATAGGTCGACCAGTCAAATCCATCAGAAACTGAGTTAAATGTAATATAAATTTACTTAAATATGTATACATATAAACTTAAAATGACATGAAATTAATTTTATATTATTATAAATAGGTCAAAAAAATTTAAGACAACACAATCTGTTGACAATCTTACCATAATAAAGACAACTATAATAATTTTAGAATTCATTAAGCTACTCATTTTAGAAAGGGTAGAATCTTTAAACCTTTCTTACTTACTGAAAATGCTACAATCCGGTAGGAGTATGGTTGGATTCGTTTGAATTCCATGGGGTCTGCTTCATACTTATCTGTAAATTAATGTCCTAGAGACTTAAATTTAGAATATCAACCATTGTGTGGGGTAGGTTAGTGGGGTACCGACTGAACTTCTCACTCTGATGTTAAAGGTTTGAGTTTTGGAGTTTACATTGAAATTCGATAGCTGACCGTTATACTAGTCTAGCTAGGTTCATTCCTGATAGAAGTAATTGGTGCAATCATGGGCCTCATAATCCTACCAATGAGGATCTATCGAGATAGTCTCTAAGAGCTCTTCTTTGCCCTCACCCCTTTTTCGTACATCAAAAAAAAAAAAAATCAGAATACCATGGAAGAAAGGCTTTGCATATGCTAATTCATCTTTATATATATATATATAATTGGTTTATTTAATGGTTTGTAATTTACTGTTGCGAAAAGATCTACAATATTAACTCCCTCGGTACCGTACCATAAAATTAGGGACAAGTTACGAGTGAATGAAGTTAAGGTTACGAGTTAATCAAATCTGATTAATTTAACTCAAATTGAAAAAACTTTGAATCAAGCCCAAGAAGTTAGGATTCGTCTTTTTGTTTATCTAATCAATCTTAACTCAATCTTCGTGGGTTACAATTAGGTATATTTGAGACATAACTTGATCTGATTGAGTCAAACTTTGGTATAACTTGGAAAGTCGCTACTATTTTTAGTGGTCAGTAATGGAGTTAGTGGTAATTACCATTTTTGTCAAGTCTGGTAATTCTCAATTGATCAATCTTAAATAAAAATTCTCTCAATTAATGTTTTGGCGCGAACAACAAACCGCCAGGACCTTTGTCTAGTACTTTTTATTCTAGACATGACCAATGGACTCAACATGAAATTGGTACGAAGTTAGCAAGTTCGGTTTAGCCTCACGGGTCAAATAATAAAGTGGGTTAAACATAACACGAATTTGGTTAAACATGTATTGTATACGATGAAATGACATGAAGTTGATTTCATACTCTTCTGTAAATAAATGTCCTAGACATAAATTCAGAATACCACATGAGATAGGCTTTGCTTATGATGCTATTGGTTTGTAATTTACCCTTGCGAAAAGATCTACAATATCAACTCTCTCGGTACCATACCGTAAAATTAGGGACAAGTTACAAGTGAATGAAGTCAAGGTTATGATTTAATCAAATTTGAATGTTTTAATTCAAACCCAAAAAACTTTGAATCAATCCCAAGAAGTTGGGATTCATTTTTTTGTTTTTGGAATCCGTCTTAACTCTATTTTGTTGGGTTGTAACTCTGATTGAGGCATAACTTGATTTGATCGAGTCAAACTTTTGGTACAACCTGGAAAGTTGCTACTATTTTCAGTGAATAGTAATTGAATTAGTGGTAATTATCGTTTCTATCAAGTCTAATAATTCTCAATTGTCAATCTTAAAAGAAAATTCTCTCAATTAATGTTTTGACACGAACAATCAACCACCGGAACCTTAATTTAGTACTTTTTATTCTAGACGTGACTAGTGGGCTCAACATGAAATCAACACGAAGTTGACAAGTTCAGTTTAACCTCATGGGTCGAATAGGCCTACCTGTCAAATCTGTTAAATAAATAGATCAAGAAAAATTAGGCTAAATATGACATGAATTTGATAAACTACGTATTAGATATGATATAAACTTGAAATGACATGAAATTGATTTTATATTATTATAAATAAGTCGAGCAATTTAAGGACGACATGATCTGTTAACAATCGCACCATAATTGAAAATTCATTTAAACCTTATCACATATAGCAAAACAAGTTGGTAATTGAGTAAAATGGAGGTGTGTCATTACTTGATGTATGCAAATGGCAAATTCTTCTATTTTATTTTTCATATTCTCAGTTCTCCAGATGGGAAATGACACCACACAACAAAAGGAATGACAGTTAAATCTGTTTCATTAAGTTCACATCAATTTCGATACAGATAGGAATACATCAATGTGAGCATTCATGTAGAATCTTAGATGATTTGTTTTCAATTCTACCCATTATTATTTAAATGAGTCTCTAGATTTGCTTGACATAGTGGGGGTAAGATCTGGAAATTAGAAAAAAAATTGCATAGAGGATTACTTTGTAATCATATATTTTATGTACATAAAAATATAATCATACAAATCCCCTGCTGCTTCTTATCTGTCTAAGTAAGTTGAACAAAGCCATTAAAAAAAGAATTTGAAAAAAGAGGAAAAAATCGAAGAAAAACAATTTGAAAAATCTCATCCAAGTCTCGTTTTTCAACAACACATAATTCGCTTAGTTGTACTTATTTAAAGCCATATCTTCATTATGATCCTTCCAACTATATAAACATTGGATGAGCAGATGTTGTTTAGAACTTTTATTTAGTAACAACCATATGTGGACCATATTTGATAAGGTGCATACGCAAGTTTGTTGTAAGGACATTT